AAATAAAAAGGTTATGCTACTTGCTCAAGGTTTTATGGCTCTTAGGCATAATCTTACAATCACTATCCACTCTAAAAAAAAGACCAACACAATGATGTCTATGATGCATTACAAAGAGAACATGCACAATAAAATCAGTTCTAATTCATGATGCTATTCTAAAAAAGTATTTTGTAAAAATCTTCTACATTTGAGAAATACCCACAAGGCATAAAAGAACCACCATTCTGATAGAAATGTGCAAGAGTATATGATACCTCTCATCTGACAGTATCAGGGAACTTAAGGGGAATTAACTCATGACTTTAGAATGATTATCAATTATTATTCTCCCATTTTTATAAAGGTGGCCAAAAGATCTTTACATTCCAAACAGACTTCTCCCTGTGAAGTCAAATGCAGACATCAATCACCATTTTTCTATTCCTACAATAATCAGAATACTTAACTGACATATCTAAAAATATTTAAACTTAATTTTAACCTTGTCATCTATGTGGAAAATTTGTGAAAAATAGAAGGGTGACAGGAAATTTAGACTAACCAGCTATAAGAGCCAGTAAGTAAATTTTCTCTCAATTGAATCTTGTCAATGACTTTATTTTCCAGGACTTCATTTGGGAACTTTTTTTTTTTTTTTAATTTATTTATTTATTTTTGAGAGAGAAAGAGAGAGCACGTAAGGCCGTGCGGGGCAGGGGTGGGGGGGTCAGAGGGAGAGAAAGGATCCCAAGCAGACTCCACTCTGAGCATGAAGTCAGACACGGGGCTTGATCTCACGACCCTGAGATCATGACCACAGTGTAAATCAAGAGTTGGTCACCTAACTGAGCCACCCAGGCACCCCTTCATTTGGGAACTTACTTAAAGGACATAATGAGTGAATAAAATGCACTGATACTAATCTGATATTGGTTTGGACAAATCAGCTGTAAAGAAAACTTTGGGGCTAACTGGCTCATAAGATAAGATGAAAATTTACTGAACTGTAGAGGGAGTCAAGCTGGGGAAAAAATCAAGTCAACATTAAGTGTTCATACAATGGCAAGCTCTAAATGGTGGGAATTAACTTTTGCTTGACTAAAAATTTCAATAAAATATAATTTATATATTTTATAATTTTCAACAATGTGCCTAGACTGCTTCTGTAATAATAATTTTTAAGAAAGGGAACAGAAGGAAAAGAAAAAGAAGAGAAGGGAAGGGGGAAGGAGAAGAAAAGAAGGACAAGGGCACCTGGGTGGCTCAGTTGGTTAAGTGACTGACTTGATTGTGACTCAGATCAAGATATCAGGGTCCTGGGATACAAACCCATCCTTAGGCTCTGCGCTTAGCGGAGAGTCTGCTTGAGATCCTCTCTCTATCTCTGCCCCTCCCCCCACTCATGCTCATGCTTTCTCTTTCTCTCACTAAAATAAATCTTTTTTAAAAAATAAAGAGTAAGGATAGAGGAGGAGAGGAGGGGGAAGGAAAAAGATGAAGGGAAGGGAAAATAAGGAAGAACAGATATAGCTTCAGAATTAGACCTAGGTTCAATTCTTGACTGTACTATTTAAGAGATGAGTGACAGTGGTCAAGTTACTTAATCCCTTTAAACCTCAGTTTCTAGAGAATATTACCTGTGTTATAAAAATTTTTATTTTATAAGGATTCAATGAGATAATGAAGTACCTAATATACACTATCAAAAACACTAATAATTCATTAAAGAACAGTCATCTTCATCCTCTTCTTTCTCCATAGCTAACAGAAAGTAGGAAAACATACCCGGGCTTCTCTCCTAAATGCTTTTGGAAAGTGCAGAGTGGGAGACAAGTGAAAGCATCTGTTTCCACAATGTCTTTGGCAATCCACAGGAGCAGAAATGGTGAATAAAAATGGTACTTACTCGAGACACACTATATATTTTTATATTAGTTTAAAAAGTATTTGGTATTGGGTGCCTGGGTGGCTCAGTTGGTTAAGCGACTGCCTTCGGCTCAGGTCATGATCCTGGAGTCCCGGGATCGAGTCCCGCGTCGGGCTCCCTGCTCAGCGGGGAGTCTGCTTCTCCCTCTGACCCTCCCCCCATCTCATGTGCTCTCTCTCTCTCTCTCAAATAAATAAATAAAATCTTTAAAAAAAAAAAAAAGTATTTGGCATTGGTTTAATCAAATCATCCAAGTCACAGTCATGATCTTTTGGTCACAAATCATTTCACAAAATCCTTAACTCTACTATTAACTATTTTGAAAGTCAAAATAGTTGACTTTATTTTAAAGTGTCAGTCAGCATCTAGGGTTGTCTCTCTTCTGAAAAGCTCTTCCTTGTCACTACAAGGTTTATTATTATGGGTAATAAAATTCCCATACTTTTAAAGCCATTTAGAAGTTAACAGAGGTCAATAAATTAACCCCCAGTATGATTCCCTACTTTTATCCCAGATGACAGATGCACAGCAATAGAATGCTGTTAGCATGAAGAGAAAAAAGGGGATTGAGTATACATAGGTGCCTTCAAAGTATTCCAGAAAATCTGCTTAGCCAGCAGAAAAAACTCCACAGAAAAACAACAGAGGGAGACATCAGAACTCACTTCAAATGTTCAGTTCCTAACTTCCTTAAAAATGCAATAATTGGAAGAAAGAGGACAGAGGGAGAAAAGAACTTTAATTCTCAAAGCAGAAACAGAATGGAGAGGAGGGGAGGTTCTATCTCCATCTCTGTAGTTATTTTAAAGTTCTTTAAAGTTATTTTAAAGGATCATAGATCCACACGGATCTCCTCTACAAAAGTTTATTCACTGGATTTTGAAAGAAGAAAAAAAAGTATCTTGAAACCAAGTAATAAACATTAGATTCTCAGGTTCTGAATAATAAAAGAAAAATTAATCCCCTTCTCCGGGATTAACTGCAGCCTGCTGTCTCAAAATTTGGAAAATCAGTGTTAGGGCCCTAGTAGATTTAAACTCTCCAATGGTTTCCACTAAACTCACAATTAAATACAAAAACATGCTTACCACAACCTCAAAGGGCCTTAAGATCTGGCTCCAACCCACCTTTGCAATCTCATTCCCACTATGTGCAGGCACAAAGTTTTGATTAGTTATTAAAACTGTCAAGCTTGTCTTCAACTATAGCTTTGCACGTTATTTCCACTGCCTGGGGAGGGCTGGATCTTTAGGTCTTAGTTTAAATAGATCTCCTCAAGGAAACCTTTCCTAACTACCTTATCTTTTCATTCGTTAAGGGACAGGAGTAAAATTAAGGTAACTAAGATTTACTGAGTATCTAAGAAACACTGGGCAAGCTTTCACATGATTTCCATTTAATCTTCACAATAAACCTCAGAGATAGATACTATTCTTATATATGAGGAAAACAGATGCAGAGATTGAATAGCTGGTCCAAGGTCACATAGATAATATGTAACAAAGCAAAGATTCGAGCCCAAAGTTGTCAAGTCCCAAACCCACAATCTTTCTGCAGCACTATATTGCCTCTCTGTTTAAACAGAAACCACTTTACTAGGAGGAAATGCTTAATTAAATACAAAGCTACAAAAAGGACTGTAGTTTATATAAAGATCTATAAACTGACAGTCTGGATAATTAACTCTGTATTTGGAACCCTCATTTGGTATCTGTATTTCTTTTATATTACCAATTACCTAACTAGGATCATTTTAAAGGAACAACAGCTACTTCTCCTAAGACTCAAAGATTTCATAATATATATTTAAAATGCAGCTATTTCTCTTCTATACTTTATATATTTAGTATAATAAAGTAGTTAAATTACAGAATTTCTGAGTTTACTCCAAGGAGATCAGGTAATACATACTCAAAAATGGCAATTTTTTGTTTTCTTTTTTTAATGAAGAGGCAAGATTTTTAACATTCTTAATTAAGGTTAATAAATTAGAACAATCCTGAGGCAAAGTTAATTTGCCCAAGTACTCTGGAAATATATCATATTTTATCTTGGTTTCTTGCTGTTTACATACATGCCTAACTTTCTCAACCACGGCTATAAAATTCCAGAAGGCAAGGTCTTTAACCTATACATATCCATAATACCTTGTGATGGATTGACTCAAAATATTTTTTTAAGATTTATTTATTCATCTGCAGAGAGACAGAGAGCATGCATACGAGTGGGATGAAGGTGAGGGGCAGAGGGAGAGAACCCCCAAGAAAACTCCCTGCTGAGCATGGAGCCCAATGTGGGGCTCGATCCCATGACCCTGAGGATCATGACCTGAGCTGAAACCAAAAGTTGGACGCTTAACCAACTGAGCCACCCAGCACCCCCTCAAAATATTTTTAAAATGCCATTTGAAAAAAAAAAAAATCAATTTTCTTTTATATCTCATGTTAGTTTTTAAATACGTCCACAAATTCTTTAGTGTTCCTCCCATTAAAACATGAAGCCTAATTCCCCTCCCCTTAAGGGTGGGTTGACTCACGACTTTCTTTTAAGGAAAAGACTATGGCAGAAGTGACTGTATATGATTTCCAAGACAGGTCATAAAAAAGGCACTTGTGGCTCCCTCTTTTGGATTACTCGCTGTAGGGTAAACTAGCAGCTACGTCCTGAGAACACACGAACAGCTTACAGAAAGGTCCACATGGTCAGGACTAAGACTTCCTGCCAATAGCCAGCGAGGACATAAAGCCTCCTAACAACAGTCTTTTGAGTGAGCCATCTTCCTGCCCCAAACAAGCCTTCATATGACTACAGCCTGGCCGACATTTTGGCTACAATGTTATACTGACACTCTTGAGCCACAACGACCCTGCTCACTGGCTTCTGAATTTCTGGCCCACAAACCTGTGTGAGATAATAAATGGCCACTGTTGTTTTAAACTGCTAAGTTTGGGGGAAGGGATTGTTTGTTATACAGCAGTAGATAATGAATTAAGAAATCTCAATTATGAAATTCCTCACACTGTTTCCATGAACATCTGCCTCAACCTTTTTCCCTTCCTGACACTCATTAGAATCTTGGGGATCAAGGTAGTTGTTTATTTAGAAAAGGCCCTGCCACACGATCCTGTCACACCTCTCCCTGATTCAACAATCACTGATAAAGAACATAATTATCTGAAAATTAAAGTACCCGTCAGATGTTGAGTAAAGTAAGTAAAATAAGAGTTTTTGCCAGACTTAGAACCCAGGCTCTACTTGGACTTCCTAACTGGGATGACTTACCTAACCTCAGGGGAATTCCTCCTACTTGCTCTTTCCCGTGAGTCCTATGAACAAACTTTCATAGCAGGGCAAGAGCCCCACCCAGAATTTTTATGGAAACTCTAATAAAGTGCCTAATTCCACATAAGACAAATTTTCAAAGTTTTGTCAGATAGTATAGAACAACTTAAATTACTACCCCTCTCACCAACACCCCCCACCCCGTTAAAAAAAAAAAAAAAAAACAATAGGAAGCATTTTCTGGTGCCACTTTTTTTTTTAAGATTTTATTTATTTATTTGAGAGAGAGAGAATGAGGGAGAGAGAGAGAACACATGAGGGGCAGAGGGCAAGAGGGTCAGAGGGAGAAGTAGACTCCCCGCTGAGCAGGGAGCCCGATGTGGGACTCGATCCTGGGACTCCAGGATCATGCATGACCTGAGCCGAAGGCAGTCGCTTAACCAACTAAGCCACCCAGGCGCCCCATAGTGCCACTTTTTTAAGATTAAGAGAAGCAAATAATCTCTCACACATGGCACATTCAAGTCTGTCCTGCTGTTTATAAGTTGCCAGGTTTATTCATGGCTAATAATCATGGAAAAGGAGATGACAGGTGTGTAGAGTCAAGCCATTTAGGATCACCTGGGCTCATTCCTCAGCCAAGTTTCCTAAGGAGCTGGAAGTAAGGAGAGCAACAGAGGGATGCAGTAAAGGAAGGATGACAGGAGACAGTCATTGAGCCCTAACACAAACCAAATTGTACTCTTATCTCACAGATTTCATTTCCCTGCCCCAATCATTCTTGTAAAGGTATCATTTAAATTTCCAAATTGCAAGAGGTGAATGAAAGCAACATTAAAGATGTACAAATCACAAAGTTATACCACTCAACCTCCAAACCTTAAGTAAAATCCATCCTGCTGTTCAAATTCTATCTCCAAGTTAAACACCCAGACACATTTCTCTCCCACTTGAAACAAGTATCGTGCATCAGTTCATCACTGGGAAACTGCTTCTATTAAAGTATTGAACTGTTACTTAAAGTTATTGTTATTTCTTTTTTAGGCATTTTATATTGTGAAAATAAAACAAGCTCGCTACAAAAAATTTCAGAGTACAAAAAGTTATATTCTCCCACATCCAGACCTTAGTTCTATTTGCCAGAGCTAATGGTTATCAACAGTTTCTTGTGTGTCCATTCGATTAGAAATTATTTACTTTTCAAATGCTTGTGTTCTATTTCCTTCTGAAGGAAGGAACCATGCTTTATATTTATTTGTACCCCACCCAGCACATTGCATATAGTAGAAAATAAATATTTGTGGATTTAACTGTGACATACAAAGTACCTGCTGTTCATTTATTTCTAAAATTAACAATTCCAATAAACAAACTTTGCTTGTTTACATACATTTCATGTAACTTGAATAAATCTACAAAAATCATGTCATAGCACCAACAAGATAAACAGAACAAAAAATATAAGATACATGTTTAAATAAAATAACGTATTTGAAGTATTTGATCCTTCTGGAAAAAAAATCTTATGTGTCCTACATGACATCTTACTGCAGTAACAATCTGCATATCTGAAGGTAAATTATATAGTAATTTATGTTACCATTCATGACCTAATCACTTTCAGGTTAGAAACACTAACAAGCTTACACATCTGACTTCAAGCCAGAGAAGATTATAAAGAAATAAGAAGAGGGATGAAAACAGATATGCTACTTGATAGTAAGTTTGGGGTTTTTTTTCCCCACTGTGTAGATTTTTATTAAATCACTTTGACAGACATTCAGAGTTTAGATGCAAACATTCATAGGTGGCATCCAATTGTTTAAAATGACCCAGTGGATTATTCAGTATGTTAGGGAGAATATAAATTTGGCTATTGACATAGAGACTCAGGATGGCTTAGTCGAGATAGAAGTGTCTCTCTCATTCCTAACAGTCCTTGTGTAAATGGTCCAAGGCTGGTGTGGCAGCTCCATGGTGTTGTTTCTGAGTACTTGTCCCGCCACAGTAGTGAGTCTTGTGAGGTTTTTTTAAAGCCTTGAAATGAGGAAAGAATAATTGGAAGAGCAGATATAAAGACTCAAAAAAAAAAAAAAATAGCCAAATCAAGATTTTAAAAATAGGGGTGAACAGTCTTACCATGTCAAAACCCACCAAGGACACTGTAGGAGCATGCAATTGTTGATTTTTATAAAGATGTCAAAGTAACGAAGCATAGCGATTAAGAGTTCAAGCTATATGGTCAGAATGCCCAGAATTCACAGTAACATTCTGCCACTCACAATTCATGTGACATTGGGCAGATTAAAATTATTTTACTTCCTTGGGGATAACTTGCCTAATCCTTAGTCTAAAGATACAAATATCTAATTTGTGAGCTTATGAGGAAATAAGATAATTGATATAAAATGTTCAACTTAATGCCACGTTTCTGGAAAAACCACCACCACCACCACCACACCCTACCAACAGTTATAAAGAGAATGTTAAATTAAATACTGTATATGCTTCCTAAGAGGGCAAGAAAATGAATTTGAATATTCCCATCCAAAAAGCTTGACACTTAATAGGTTATACTCTTATTATCTGCATATTTAATTATACAAATTAATCTAATAACCTAACAAAATCAAATTACAAGTATTATTTTTTAAGTGTAAGGAAGAAGGAAGGGAAGAAAACAAAAAGGAACACTTATATGACAAGAAAAGCAAAGTCAGAGGACCAAGATTAATATTTGATTATATCTGCCCAATAAGGTAGAGAAAAAAATCTTTAGCCTTGGGGTTTTTCCTCCAAAGGTAACATCACAAGACTGGAACCAAATCAGATATAGTAGATGTGACATATAGCTTTTTGATATTTCCCATATGATAAACTATTCAGGCTGATAACACTGTAGTCAAGAGAGCATTCAACATTTGACTTATATAAAATATACATAAATTAAGAATGATTCTCTTGGGGTGCCTGGATGGCTCAGTTGTTAAGCGTCTGCCTTCAGCTCAGGTCATGATCTCAGGGTCCTGGGATCAAGCCCCACATCGGGCTCCCTGCTCCGTGGGAAGCCTGCTTCTCCCTCTCCCACTCCCCCTGCTTGTGTTCCTGCTCTCGCTGTGTCTCTGTCAAATAAATAAAAATTAAAATTAAAAATCTTAAAAAAAAAAAAAAAAAGAATGGAGGGGCACCTGGGTGGCTCAGTCGTTAGGCGTCTGCCTTCAGCTCAGGTCATGGTCCCAGGGTCTGGGATCGAGCCCCGCATCGGGCTCCCTGCTCTGCGGGAAGCCTGCTTCTCCCTCTCCCACTCCTGCTTGTGTTCCCTCTCTCGCTGTGTCTCTGTCAAATAAATAAAATCTTTAAAAAAAAAAAAAAAAAGAATGGATTCTCTCACACAGGGGTGATGTGATTAAAGTTCCACAGGATTATTTTAGGAAATAAAAAATGCTCTTCCACATACCAAAATAATAGGGGGTGCCCAGGAGAATATTTAAAGGCAACTTAACATAAAACAGAAAATTAAGCATTTTTCTTTCAACTTTCATCCTCTGAAAATTGTATGAGTCAGCTTCAGATTCTCTTCTCCCTCTAAATCTGCCTTTCTCCCTGCTGGCACTCTCTTTCAATCAATCAATCAATCAATCTTTAAAAAAAAGGACAAGCAGGGCGCCTGGGTGGCTCAGTTGGTTAAGCAACTGCCTTCGGCTCAGGTCATGATCCTGGAGTGTCTGGATCGAGTCCCGCGTTGGGCTCCCTGCTCGGCGGGGAGTCTGCTTCTCCCTCTGACCCTCCCCCCTCTCATGTGCTCTCTCTCATTCTCTCTCTTTCAAATAAATAAATAAAATCTTTAAAAAAAATAAAACAAAAAAAAATAAAAGGACAAGCCATAGACTGAGAAAATATCTTAAAATCATGTCTTCATAAAGATCTCATATTCTGAATATATAAGGAATTTATACAACTCAGTAAGACAAACAACCCATTTTTAAAAATGGGCCAAAGATATGAATTGACATTTTGCTTAAAAAGATATAGCAATGTAGGGGCACCTGGGTGGCTCAGTTGGTTAAGTGTCTGACTCTTGGTTTCAACACAGGTCCTGATATCACGGTTGCGGGATGGAGCCCCAGGTGTGGCTCTGTGCTCAGTGCAAAGTCTTCTTCCGATTCTCTCTCCCTCTCACTCACTCTCTCTCTCAAATAAATAAAGTCTTAAAAAAAAAAAAAGATACAGCAATGTAATATGCACAATGAAAAGGTACTCAACATCATCAGTAACCAGGAAAATGCAAATTAAAACCACAATGAGATAGATACATTTCTGACCCTCTAGGATGGCTACATAAAACACACACACAAATCAATGTTGGGGAAGATGTGGAGAAATTGAAGTCTCATATATTGCTGGTGGAAATGTAGAATGGCACATAGAAAACAGTTTGGCATTTTTGAAAAGGTTAAACACGGAGTTACCACATGACCTATCCCTTCCACTCCTAGATATATACCCAAGAGAACTGATAACATAATATCACAAAAACTTATACATGACTGTTCAAAGCAGTATGATTCATAGTAGCCAAAAAGTAGAAACACAAATGTCCATCAATTAATGGATGGATAAACTAAGTGATGTTTCTATACAATAGAATATTATTCAGCCATAAAAAGAAATGAGGTACGGATTCATAGCTACAACATGGATGAATTTTGCAAACATGGTGAAAAAGAATGAAGGGGGAAATCGGAGGGGGAGAGGAACCATGAGAGACTATGGACTCTGAAAAACAAACTGAGGGTTCTAGAGGGGAGGGGGTTGGGAGGATGGGTTAGCCTGGTGATGGGTATTAAAGAGGGCACGTACTAAATGGAGCACTGGGTGTTATACGCAAACAGTGAATCATGGAACACTACATCAAAAACTAATGATGTAATGTATGGTGATTAATATAACAATAAAAAACTATAATAAAAAAAAGAAAACATGGTGAAAGAAACCAACCACATATTATATGATTCCATTTATATGAAATGTCCAGAAAAGGCAAATTTAGACAGTTAGAAGGCAGATGAATGGTTGTCTACAACTGGGAACGGGAATTAACTGCAAACGCTGATGGAAATGTTCTCAAATTGGACTGAAGTGATAGTTGCACAGCCTATAAATTTACTAAAAATCAGTGAATGTTATAGAAAGTAAATTACACCTTAATAAAGCCTGTTAACCAACAAAAGACATACAAAAAAATGTACAGAGCATTATGTTCCAAATCACATAAAATGATTCTCTTCTTTGTATTATAATGTTACCAGTTTGAGATACTGAGTAACTCAATCCTCACAAAAAGCTATCAGGTAGATTTCTATTATTATCTCCCTATCACAGACCAGGAAACTGAGACAAGGAGATTAAGTAACTTGCTATTCAGTTAATAAACTGCAGAACCAGGATTGGAACTCTAGTTTTATCTGACTTCAAATAACCAAAATTGATACGTCCTTCATTTTTTTATAATGCAATAAGCATTCCCTATATGGACCAGTGTTTTTAATTCTGAGGTTTTCAAAGGGAAAGAAATTCTTTAGATCACTGAAAAGAGGATAAATACCTAGTTAGTGTTATAGAAAATACACTTCATCAGGGTCAGAAGGCCTGAATGGTAAATGCTATATAAAAATGAAGGAACTGAACTAGACTATCTCTAAAGTCCCTTTCAATTTTTTTCCACAAAACGAAGTATCTTCCAAAGAAAAAAGAGAGGCATTTGCACCACTTAGTAATGTAGCCACTACAGCAACCATTTGCTCCCTCCTAATTTTTTATAAGCTGTACTGAGTGGGGCAGAGGCCCTGCTCTCTATCTGACCCTCTTTTCCACTAGTCCTTCATTGAGACTTCTAGTCTTTTTTTTTTTTTTAAGTAAACTCTACCAACATGGGGCTCAAACTCAGCATGCTCTACTGCCTGAGGCAGCCAGGAGCGCAGCAAACTTCTCTTCTTTAGAAACAAAGTAACAATAACAAGATGCAATTTAAGTTATGTGTAACTATCCTGATAGAGACTGCAAGAGAAATGCATCTATGGGCTAGGGAAGCACGGGCACGTAAAGTCTAGATTCTACACTAAGTATTAAGGGAAAACAAACAAAACAAAATACTAACCGCCTTACAAAAATCACGACTGTAGGAATGTATCTCTAGCCTAAAAGTCACAAAGTTACAAAATATAATGTTCATTCCATTTCATCTGTAAGTCTTGAGTTTCATTTCTAGCAGGTGTGTATCTCAATTTAAGTTCCAAAAAGAGGTGTTCTTCCCAAATAATCTATCCTTGAAATTTTAAAAATCAGAGAAGCACTATCAATGACACAAAGGAATGCTATATCATTTTTACTTACCATTTAGGGGATGGAAAAATTAATGCTTTTCTTGCTATTCCCACAGGAAAAGGGGGACTACCACTTCCTTGTGCTTGTAAATGCTTCCATTTCAGAACAGAAAGCACTTTTTTTCATGCTGCCTAATTTTTAAGAGGCTATATAACTCACTAAAATTTAAGAATAATTCAAACCAAGAGACAACACTAAACTTAAACATACTTAAACATACTATCATTAAGTACTGGATAACAGTGATAGAATGAAATTGCTTTTAAAACATGAATAATCTTGGTAAGTTTCTATCTTCAAACCACTGTATCTTCCTATCTGTGACACATTCTGGAAATAATAAAATTAATCAAAGGAGAGTAGACTCAATCTATAATCTGTGGGTCACAATATGACTGAGGGGAAAAGAAGCTATACAATGAAGACCAAAGAATGACAAACAGTCTTAATCTTCCAGCTGCTCCAAGTGGATGTTTGCTTCCCGGGTACTGCAGGCCAGGCCTCTATCAAACCACCGAGTCAGTTTTACTCAGACAGTCATGAGGAAGCAGACTGCACATGACAGCATGCTGTGTAATGCATGACACACCATTTCTGAGCACAGACCTGAAGCATTAAAACAATGTTCACAAAAGTCATTTATGAGATTGAACGACTGCAACTGTGCCTGTCTCTTCCATCTCTCCACTATCTCCCATGGGTTTAAAAAACAACTTTCAAGGGGTAATGAAAGTCGAAATCCCTGAAAAAGGCAGCTAAGTTATAAAATATACATACTCTTAAAGCTTTTCTACATTTTTATTTAAATAAACTAAAAACAGGGCCACCTGGGTGGCTCACTCGGTTAAGCGTCTGCCTTCGGCTCCAGTCATGATCTCAGGGTCCTGGGATTGAGCCCCAAGTCAGGCTCTGTACTCAGCAGGGAGTCGGCTTGTCTCTCTCCCTCTCCCTCTGCTCCTCCTCCTGCTTGTGCTCACTCTCTCTCTCACAAACGAATAAATAAAATCTTTTTTAAAAGAAACAAACTAAAAATGAGAGAATTTTGATGAACTAGTCAACATAACTGCATACACATGGCTAAATTCTTTTAAAATGAACAAAATATACTGAGATGCCTGGGTGGCTCAGTCAGTTAAGCATCTGGCTCTTGATCTCAGCTCAGGTCTTGATCTCAGGGTTGTGAGTTCAAGCCCCCTGTAGAGCCTAGTTAAAATAAAATAAATAAAATAAAATAAAAAATACTGCCTAAAAGAATGGTGTTTCTTTCAATCGAACTCAGAGTGCACATTCACAGTGCAGAGCCCAACCTAGCAGCTCACAACACTGCCAGAGTCTAAAATTCTGACTCTGTATTGCTGTGCTCATCTAGTCAACTAAATTGCACCCAACTTCCTACTTATTCCTATTTATTTATAGTTTACAGCCTTGGGGGGGAAAAATATATATATATATATATATTTACATGAGGCTGAGACTTGTCACCTTGACTAGACTATTTGAGGGCAGGAACCATGTCTTCTACCTTCTAGTGTAACAGGGTAAGAGCACAGGCTCTGGAGCCATACTACCTGGATTCATTTTCATCCTCCACCATTTGCTTTGTGACCTTGACGAAGTTATTTACCATCTCTATGCCTCAGCTTCCTCATCTGCAAAATGAGGATAAAAGTATATGGTGGTTGTAAAAATTACATGAGTGATAAATTCTGAACATCTAAAACAGTGTCTTGCACACAGTATACATTATAAAATATTAGTTATTATAACTACCTGTATCCCCGACAATACCTAGCATCAAGCCCTGCTCCTTTAGTAGGTGTTCAAGTATTTGCCAATTGGCTACAAAATGTACAACTGTATCAGCAGTACAATTTCTCTCATCACCACCATATAATTTATGAACAATGAAGTCTCTATTGTTCAAGAACACCTTCTTGGGGTACGTGGCAGGCTCAGTTGGTGGGAGTGTGCAACTCTTGATCTCGAGGTTATGGGTTTGAGTCCCATGTTAGGTGTAGAGATTCCTTAAAATAAAATCTTAAGGGGCACCTGGGTGGCTCAGTCGTTAAGCGTTTGCCTTCGGCTCAAGTCATGATCCCAGTACTGGGATTGAGCCCCATATCGGGGTCCTTGCTCAGCGGGAGGCCTGCTTCTCCCTCTCCTACTCCCCCTGCTTGTGTTCCCTCTCTCGCTGTGTCTCTCTCTGTCAAATAAATATATAAAATCTTAAAAAAATAAAAATAAAAATAATAAAATCTTTAAAAAAATACCTTCTTTATGGAGCACCTACTTGGCTCAGTCATTAAGCGTTTGCCTTCGGCTCAGGTCATGATCCCAGGGTCCTGGGATCGAGCCCCGCATCGGGCTCCCTGCTTGGGGAGGAAGCCTGCTTCTCCCTCCCCCACTCCCCCTGCTTGTGTTTCCTCTCTCGCTGTGTCTCTCTCTGTCAAATAAATAAAATCTTCAAAAAAAAAAAAATACCTTCTTTAATTCTTCAAAATGTTTTTCTCAATTAATCTAAAATGTAGCATCCCTACTTTCCAATCTAGTGCTAGAGTACTTTCCTTACACAGCTTTTAATAGCAAACTACTATGAGAGAAAATGTTAAGTATGTTAACGTTTTTGCTGTAGGAGGGAGATTACACGTGAC